CACTAGGTGAGTCATCCCCAGGGAAAAGACATCCCTGACAAACGGGGACGTCCCCACGGACGTCCGTGTCCGGTCGCCGTCGAAATCCGACGACCGGTAACGAAGTTACGGAACCGTCCGCCATCTCGCGACCTAGACATCTTCTACGGGGAAAAACCGCGGAAAGCGTTTTACTAGGTCCGAAGTAAGCGTCAGGAGAGGTCGACGTCATCGGCGAGCCCGGTGCTCTGCACCCGGACGTCTTTCTCAGGGAAGTCGCCCGGATGGAAGTTGTATACATCGTATACAACTTAATAGACCTGGCGCACAGGTCGGCGTCAGCGGCCGCGCGAAATTCGTCGCGGTGAAAAACCGCTACCCCGTCGCCAGGATGGAGCGACCGCGCGAGCGCAACGCGCGTGGAAATTTCTACGGGGTTCGGCGCAAACGGCGTAAACACCCGCGTGGAAAAGTACCGGAGTCTAATGCGTAGTTAGCGGCGAGAGAAAGCGGAATAGACGTCGGAGTGGGGGTCATCGATACCGATGGTGGGGAGCTCGAACGAGACAAACAACTCGAGGCAGTGTTGTTAGACGGGCCGGTTTTTTCGCGCATGCGCGTGATGCGCGACGATGACGGGTGGGGTGTGGCAGTACTGCCGGACCTGTAGGCCTATTCTGTAACTCGTTTTGTTAACCGAAAACTGTCGCTTGGCGCTAGCGACACGTAACGATACAGCTATTCTGGTAACTCTTGCTAACGACAGGATATCGATACATTGTATTCGTTAACGTTGGATAACGACAGTAAGTGTCGCTATCATAGACTTATATAGATAGCGCCACTATAACGAAAAGTCCCTATTCTGTAACTCGACAAGCGACAAATGTCGCTAAAGGTGTCGTAAGATAACAATGTTGTCGTTATACTATCGAGGTGTATGGGACCCCTCGGTAAACGTTATCGACGATACACCAATTCTTCGGAATAGTTGTTTTAATTATCATAGCGAGTAATACATATTGGAAATATATTATTTATTAAAATAAAATAAAAATTAAAGACATTAAAGTACAGAAAGTGACATAAGTTACAAAATACAAGGTAAAGTAAAATATTACAATTTAATAATATGATAAACCCGATGAAAACAGTACGTGGATCCACGTTATTGCTACGTGGATTCGATGTGGATTCGATGAAATTGCGTGGATTCGACGTGGATGTGACGTGACTGTTTTTATCGGGAAGTTACAAAAGTGTATATAATTTTATAATTATATGGTTATGTTTTGTATCTCTAATACAGTATAAGGAACAAAAGAAATATGTTTTTTGTTAAAAGTATTTATTAGTATATCTACTTATTTGGTAATTTTGAGCAATCAATTTTTATACAGTTTATATATATATAAAAACAGTCTGTATAACCTGTATCCTTATTCTTTTTTCTTTGTTAGTAATATGACTAATATGGCTGAAGGATATGTAGCATGGGATTTAATGGTGTTAGAAGAAAGAGTGAGACAAGTAGAACGAAGAATTGAGAGAAGAGTGCTCCGCGACGCTCAAAATCTATTTGAACTGCCTTATATCGAATTTCTCTCATACTATAGAGTTAACAAAGAATTAATTATGGATATTGTCAACGTGCTAAGACCATATTTACAACCACAACGCATTAATGGATTATCTCCAGAAATACAAGTTTTAACAACAATTGGATTTTTTGCTCATGGTAGTTACCAAAGGCCAAGTGGAAATCAGTGTGAATTGGTTATAAGCCAACCGTCTGCAAGCCGTTGCATACGTAATGTGACAAAATTGATGAATGCGCATTTATTACGTCAATGGATACGATTTCCAATGACACCATTAGACAGAGCTGCAACACGGAACAAATTTGCACGAACGTTTCCGGGTGCTATTGGTGCTATAGATTGCACGTACATAAATATTATTGCACCACGTATACACGAGGAGGCATACGTAAATCATCACGGCAATCACTCATTAAATGTACAAGCTGTAAGTACAATTATAATAAATTATATTTTATTTATTTATTTTGTAAATTAAAAAATTTAATGACAGTTTACATATATACATATGAATTCCCCCTTATATTAACATTATTAGTAATAATAACTATAATGTAATACTGCATATAAAAGAGTGTGTATATGAGTGGAAGAAAAAAGAGAGACTTGTGATATATTTGTGAACATTTTTACAGATAGTCGATCCAGACTTGAAAATATTAAATATCAACGCACGATATCCAGGAGCGAGGAATGATGCTTTTATATGGAATTCTTCTCCAATTAAACATGTAATGGAACACTTCTATAATCATGGTGAAAGAAGAACGTATTTGATTAGTATGAATAAACTTAAAATGTTCAATTTGTATTATTGTGTTTTTATTTAATAAGTCGTTTATTTATTTATTAAGTCATTGTAATGTGTGTGTGTGTGTGTAGGAGATGCAGGATATCCCTTGGAACCTTGGCTCATGACACCGTTACCTTACTATCCACAGAGGAGTCGGCAGTACCATTATAATGAAAAATTATGTAAAGCACGATGTATTGTAGAAAGATTTTTCGGAGTCCTTAAGGGAACTTGGCGATGTTTATCATACCAACGCGTATTAATGTACGCTCCAGATATTGCTGGCCAAATAGTAAATGCATGTGCAATATTGCACAATATGCGTCTGTATTATCGGTTACCCTTGGACATGGAAGAAAATGTGTTCCTCGATAACGCACCTGCAGATCACACCCATGTAGAAGAAGAAGAAGAAGTAGAAATTCGCAGAGGGCCTAGAGCTGTAGCACAGCGGATACAAAAACAACTTATGCAAGAGTGGTTTCCCAATTATGTATGTGCATGGGATAATGAATAGGAATTTAGTAAAATTTCTTAAGGATGTATTGTAAAGAAAACTTTATAATTATGGAATAAGGACAAATCGTCAATTACATTATACACTAAGAATGGTCATAAACAAGGAATTTAAGTGAAAGAATAAAACGTATAACAGTAATTTTGAGCATTAAAATTTATTTATTATTTAACAATGTATCAATAACATATATTAAATGTTAGGTAAACATTACTATCAAAAACATATATTAAAAGTTAGGCAACCCTTTTAACAAGATTTTCTAAAATTGTTATTTGCCGTCTTTCGTTTTCGGCGAGTTTTTGCATGTTATTGCTCAATTGCAATGTAGCTTCCGCTTGGAGTTTCATAGACTCTGCTAACATCTGTAAAAATATAATATTAAAAAAGAAAACAGAGATGTCTTGCATGTACTAATAAAACTACTTACTTTCATTGCTTCAGCATGTCTTTCGGCAATTGCAGCAAATGACTCTCGGGCTTCGTTTAAATTGTCCGACAAACGTGCCTTTCCTGTAAATATTAGTGAAATAATAATATTGTAGTTAGAATAAAAAGTTAAATTTATATACAGAATATAATTAATATTCTAATACTTTTACTTACGTCTTTTAGAGAGATTAGATGCACCTGACCTTTGTATTCCATGTGTTGGTTGTGTTGGTATGTTGGTAGTGTTGGTTACATTTAATGTATCAATGTTTTCGATATTTTCCATATTTTCCATATCTCCCATATCTCCCATATTTTCCATATTTTCCATATTTGCTGTATCTTCTATATTTTCT